CAAACTTTCAGCAGTTGCACTTTTTCTCAGACTTTTCCAACACGCAAATCTGTAAATGTATTATGAAGATGGCGTCAGGCAGTCTCTGCGTGTACCTGTGTTCTGGGTGATCTTCTCTTGGTGACATCTGTTTGCATTTAGGATCCATCAGCTCGCTGTTCTTGTTCTGTTTCAGACACTGAAGAACGTTCTTTCCCTCGGACTCCGTACAGAACCGCTGAAACAACATTCACATAAAACGGCGGTGACAACACCACGTATACAGTTGTGTTCAAATCAGCAGTCCAACATCATTAACCAGAACATCACGGTTTTTGATAGAAATTACATTCCTACATGGCAAATTATTTCTAGGTTGGTACAGTAACAGAGAACCAACAGTCCTGGAACACATGCTGCCAATTTTGTAGAATTGATCATTAATTGAAAGGGGCGTGAGGTCAGTCAGTCTATGAAAATCAGGTGTCAACAGTTGCCCTCATTTAAAGACAAAGGCAGCAAATATTGCACAGGCTGTTCGTGCATTTCTCTCAACAACCGTACTTTTTCAAAAGTGAGAGTGAAAAACATGGCTGCTCAGCTAAAGTGATCTCAAATGCTTTTCAAACCAAAACCAGAAAGACGTGGAAGAAAAGGGAAACTACCACCCAAAGCCGGAAAAAGACCATCCAGAGATCAGAGGGTCGAACGTTTCCTGTGAGCGCTGTAACAATTAGAAGACGCCTACGTGAAGCCCCCGCAAAGTCCCACGACACGTGCTGAAGAGGTTCGCCAGCGTCGACTGGCCTAAAGAGCAAGATGTCTAATAGAAACATCAAAAATGCTGTTTCTGAAGCAAAACCCAGAAATGCAGAGAACTGTGGAGCGTCGTCCTGGGCTGGAAACCTGTTCACAGGTGCCAACTAAATACTAGTGACTGACAGGAAAGCTAGTTTCCACAGAAAATGTTTGAGGTGTAAAGAAATGTGCAGACGCTGCTGTTGTTTTGAATAATATTCCTTTTTCCTCACTTTCTGTGTAGTAAGTCAAATTAGATTTGATATTGAACGTGCAGTGTTCCCAGAGCGTCTATAGAAAAGCTTTTTAAGGATTAGAGCTTTAGTCACTTTTTTCAACACACTGCTGTTGTTTTGAACACGTCACTGTTCGCCATGTGCAGCGCTCCGTTTACTTTCAGCATCTTTTAGATAAATCTGCACATGTGGAGACCGCTCAAACTGTTGGGATATTGATGCGATGATTATTGTGTGATGCCGGTTTTACCGTACCCTGATCATGTGACACTGGTTGCTTTTATTGGCCTACCCTGATCATGTGACACTGGTTGCTTTTATTGGCCTACCCTGATCATGTGACACTGGTTGCTTTTATTGGCCTACCCTGATCATGTGACACTGGTTGCTTTTATTGGCCTACCCTGATCATGTGACACTGGTTGCTTTTATTGGCCTACCCTGATCATGTGTTTGCAGACTCTCATCAGCTGGTAGTCCAGTTCAGGATCAACCATCTCGACCTCCTGCAGCTTGAAGATGCGCTGGTGGCAACGCTGAGTCAGCTGACGCTTGTTCTCCTTCAGACACTCGATCACCTTCAGAGGGAGACACGGATTTGATCGTTAGTAATCACTTGAAGTATATGAAATGCAGAACTTCTCTCTCCAGCTGGAGCATCAACATAGTCCTGGAAACTTTGAAGGAACCAAAAACTGTTTTTTTTCAAGAAGAATTCAGACCTTTATCTTAGCTCTTTTAATTTCATGTTTCATGCATGTGTGTGTTACGGTATTTGTTCATATAGATGATATCTGGTCTCTCGTGGCTCAGTAGAAACAGCATGAGACTGCACTGATTCCTACAGGCTGAAAAAACACTTGACTGGAAAATGAAAGCATTTAATCCGTTACATCTACAGCTAACATCCCATGATGCTTTACACTGGCTTCATACCTGCCATTTATTGGACCTGACTGCATAAAATTCAAGATATACGTTAGCATGATGTAATCACATGCAGCTGCTGACCTGCGCGTTGCCGAAGGCCACGTTCTGACACAGTCTGTTGATGTCCTGCTTACAGGAGTCGTACAGCTCCGGCTCCAGGCGGATGTCCTCCGACTGCAGAGATTCAGGAGGATTAAATGAATTTACAGAAAACACAGAACTTCCGTTAAGCGAAGAAAAGTTTCATCTCAGAGAGAGATAAACCATCAGAACAAGAGCTCAGAAGCTTTTCAACATCCTGAACTGAACTTCTGCTCTGATTACTGTCACTCCTGTTATGATAAAGAAATACACATCATTCACACATTTCTGTTCATCTGACTACTTTTCTCTTATAAATGCAAAAGTGTTTGAACGCTTTTAAAGAGCATTTTCTGTAAGAGCATTCAAACACTCAGGTTTATGAAAACAGTCAACTAGAGATGTGCTTTGTCACCAGAGGCTTTTAAAGAGCTCTAATATTTCTCACTGTGGCAGCTTCTTTCCCTGTAATACAAGTTTTATGTGAAGAAACCTTTCTGTACAGCCACAACGCGGAAACAAATTACAATATATTCATCAACTTCAGGGCTTTGAATGCTGTTAATCCACCACAGCAGTGAAAAAATATTCCACTAGTTATCAAAAGGAAATGTGTATGATTGGTTAAAGAGCTGTAGTTCAGAGACACAGTAGTTTTGGGCAATAATACTATTTTTTATTTTTTCCACCTTCCCAGAGCCAGGAACTAAACATGGCTTAGGACAGACCTTTTTATGTATCTGGTGCAGTCTGAAGTTATGTCAAACAGCAATATCAGCCTATCTCAGCTGAATTGTTGAGTGTCTGTGAGATCAAATAACAATGATCCCATGGGCATCCAGGAATTAAGAGATTCTAAGCAAGTAAATTAAGGGGGATGTGAGGGGGTGCGTTACCCAAAGCCTTTTCTGAGTCTCCTGCATTAGAGTATCTGCCCAAAATATGCGCAGACAGGGACATCTTAATGCTACAGCACAAAACTGGATTTAAGGTAATAGCGCTGGTCTCTTTCCTGTTCCAACATGACGGCTCCCCTGCACACAAAGCGCCATAAATAGATGGTCTTCCCACTTGACAGACATACACAGAGCCCTGACCTCAAGCCCGTCCAGCGCATTTTAGGTGAACGGAACGCCAACCTGGCTGGATGATGAAATATGCATCTCCAAAATGTCAAAAAGGGCTGGATTTTCAGCTTTACGACAAGTATTTAGATAGTCCAATAAGTTTATTATGATGGTTTATGTAACGTAAGGAAGATGCTTTTCTTAAAATCACCACAAAACACACACACACACACACACACACACCCCCCCTCCTGTGGCTGAATGAAAATCCTGAAATCAGAAGATCGGATGCTCTTATAACATCTATCTGGTCCAGGTGTCCGCTTTCTTTAAAAGTCTTGTTTTAGTTAAAAAGCTTGAGTGACAGTCTCTGGAGGCTAAACTATCCAGACATTACACTGTGTGTGTGTCGGTGAACGCACCATCTCCACCTCCTCCACCCGCAGCTGTTTACGACATTTGACGGACACTCGCTGCTCCTTGGCGTCCTGCAGGGTGTCGTTCCTCACCGTGGTGCTGAGGCAGATCACAACGTCCACCCTGAGCGACAGGAAGACAAGAGGTTACACACCCAGTCTGACTTTTAGCTTATACAATACGTCAAGATTATTTTTGCACTTCACTGAAAATGGGAGAGTCTGTTTGTCGATCAGTTGTGGATGAAACAGAAACCTTTTTGCTTTAAGCTCTTTAAAGCAAACCTGACATTAATGCTCCCATAAAAGCCAGTGTTCAAAAGTCCGTCTCAAACAACAGCTGAACAAATAAAGGTTGGACGCTAATAAAAGATGAGTGAAGAAAACACACAGGGTTGTTTTTCACATGAAAGGTCTACTTCTAAAAGGAATGCAGCAAGACTTTAAGTGTGAAAAGCCTGGAGGAAGCCTTAAGTTTAATTCATGGTAGTTTAAGAAAGAAAAGGCAAAGTGGAAGGCCCGACATGACCGTTGTAGTGCCGCTGAGTGTGCACAAATAAAGGACCTTCCACTGAGGTAAATACTATTTCAAAATTCACGTTACATCAATTTGCAACCCCTCATCACAGTAACGATCTATGAGCTGTTCAACCACAGAGATTGTTTCACGGGTGGTGATGGAGCAGTGGATAAGACGCCTGTCTTTGGTGTGAGAGAACTGGGTTCAATTCCCCACTGTGACCCACCCACCAATGTGTCCCTGAGCAAGACTCTTAACCCCTCATTCACATGTATAGCAGCTGCAAGTCGCCTTGGATAAAAGCGTCCGCTAAACGAATAAACGTAATGTAATAATTGTGGAAGCCTGGAGAGGTAAAACTGCCTAAAAGAAGTGGGCGTAGCCAGCGTGACGTCACCCACTGGTTCGTGAAGTACCATTTTAAAGTCGCATTGCTACGCCTGACTGGTCAAACACAGGGTGGCCCCGCCCTAAAGCATCTCCTGCTTTATCGTCCATTTTCCTCTAAATGGGACCATCATTTTCTCAATGAACGTCACGCTGTGTTGAAGGACACTTGAAACTAGGGACTGAGAACACAAACTCATCAGGGAAGTGTTTACTGAAGCAATAAATCAGGTGAAAAGAAGCCTCATTTTGACGTAGAGTTCTGTGCACTCAGACTTCTTTTTGCAACCAGTGGAGTCGCCTCCTGCTGGCCGTTAGAAAGAATGCAAGTTTTCAACACAATGCAGAACTTGAGGTGTCTGTCTTAAAAGTCCATTTAATATGAATTCAATATTTCTGTAAAACATACCGAAATAACTCCAACAAATATAAAACCAAAAGCAACAACTTGCTCGCTGCTGGATGTGTTTTTAACATTCAAGAAGCCTTTTCAAAGCTTATTATTCAGTCACCAGCTTTCCTCTGAAACACAGAGCTGAAAACCATAAGAGGAGTTTTAGGAACGTGAACTGAGCAGCCATTATTTAGAAAAACACCTGGAAACATTTGAGCGCCGAAGTTCATGTTTTACCTTTGGGAAAAGAAGACGGTACAAAATATTCTGAAATACAGGCTGTGAGATGACGCAGAAAGCTCCTGAAGCTTTTTAGCTTAGACTGTTCGGTTACATATCTGATAAAATGGTCGGAGTAATTGGTGGTTTGGGGGGGGATTTGTGCCATCTGCTGCAGACAGGCAGATCGTGTCTTACTTCTTCTTGATATTGGGACACAGTTTGAGGACGTCCTCTTTGCAGGCCGTCTTGAACTTGTAGGAGAAACGGAAATCTTTGACCTGAATCTGTAGACACAGAGAGACACAGAGCGGCTTCTCAGTAATGAACTCAGCAGATAAAACGGCTACCACACAATGAGCAGAATACACTGACACGTCTCCAGTAACACACTATGAAGGTTGCCAACAATTGTTTTATGTCCATTTTCAATACTTGCCAAAAGAAAAAAAATCCTGCCCCTTTGTGTCATGATTTTATAATAAAATCTGCTCACCAGCTGGAAGTGCGTCACTCCCACCGCGCACTTCTCGTTCATCTCCTTCTGGTGTTTGTTCTGAACCAAACACTCCATCAGATCACCAGTGTCGATCTGATTATCAGCTACCTCCTAGCAGACAGGAGGAGACAGATAAGGATTTGTACAGGCCAAATAAAGGGTTAAAGATTAGATAAGACAGACGGAGGAGGACGGCTCTTTAAACACAAACATCCTGTTTCATTTCATACATGGTGCCTCTTTATCTGAAATATTTTTGCTTTGGAAGTCAGTTTTTACTCTCTTGGCCTTCTTAAATCAGAAAAACAGATCTCTTCTTTCACCAACACTAAATCAAACTGGATTTAAAAACATCTCAGACTTACGTGGCAGTGGGTCTGGATGACGGGTTCACAGGCTCGCATGAGCAGCGCCTCGATCTGAATATCCTGAGGACAAAAAAAACGGACGCTCAAAATAATCAGGAAGATCAGAGGGTTCAGTTTTAACCTGCTTTTATTCCGTCAGGAAGGCCCAGTGTCTACATTAACTAGGTCCCTGATGAAATGATGAAAATAAAAATGTGAACACGTCTAATGGCAACAGCGAATCTGAAGAACAACATCTGTTGGTCCTTTTCAGTTTCTCTCTTCTGTCTAGTTCCTGGAGGTTTCCCTCCTACGTCAGCTTTAGCTGGCCTTCACACAGAACCACTAATCTATCTGATGGTTAGACTCCAGTTCTAAATCATATTAAAATCTATAACCATCCATGAGTTCTACTCTGATCTGTGGAGCCAGTGAGTTCATGTAAACATTCTAGTAAGATTCCCAGAGAACACTGATGTCTGCCAGCCTGACGCCACCTGATCAGTCCAACTGTTGTCTCCCTAACAAGGACGGTAAAGAATAACCCGTCTTACGTTTCCCTGTTACATCAATTAAGCCTCCTAAGAATACTCTGTAACAAACTTTATGAAATCCTTCAAAGTGTCCGCACTACGGTCGAGTGCAAGAGACAAGAAACAATTGATGTTTTGCGTCACAAGCCAAAGAGTTACAGATGATTCTGGTTGTTTTGGGCACTTGACATATAAATCAAAATGTACCGAGTGTCCCTGTAGAGGAAAAACCTCCTTCTGGACAGACGCTGTTTGAATTCCCGCCAACCAGATTGTACAGAGAAGCCGAAAAGTGTAAAATGTCGATTTGAATCGATGGAAAATGAAGAAAGATAAATGAGCCTTATACGTTAAATCATTTCCTGAGATGGTCTAAAGCCTCCCGCATCGCTGTTGGTCTCCATCAAACACAGGAAACTTCTTATGTTTCCTTGGCTGCTTGACCCGTTAAGAGTGGTGGCAATTACCTCCGACTCCAGCTCCGTCAGGTTTCCCACCACGTCTCTGCAGTCAGACACCAGATCTTCCAGGTGATCCTGCAGACCACTCCAGCTCCTGTCCCTCCGTCTTCTCGCTGCCACTTCCCCAGGTCGGTCATACATCGCCGCTGGAGCTCAGGGTCCAGCTTCACATCCTGCGCCCTCTGGTGAGAATCCTCTGCACCTCCACCTTGCAGTCCTGGAGAGCTGCAGGAGGACAAACACTCGGTTAGAGGAGCCGAGGGAAACGCCTCACTTTTATTATTTGTATTAAGAGGCCTTAAATGGATACTCCTCTCTAGGTTTTTAGAATTTTTGTCCTGTACGCATCATTTTGAAAGGTGGCCGTTTCCCTGATTCACAATAAAGACAGAGGACCAAAAATACAGAAAACATTCAAATGGAGGATTTGTTGTTGTTGTTTTCCATCCGTGTGTGTGTCTCTACGTGCTTTTGTCAACATGTCTTTTCTTCATGAAGGAGGAAACACTTTTAGTCTTCAGAGGGGAGGGTTTGCTACTGAAACAATATGTGTGGGTGGAGTGATGGGGTGGGGATGGCGCAGTGGATAGACCCATGCCTTTGGTGTGAGAAACCCGGGCTCAATCACCCAGCGAGACACTTAACCCCTCGTTGCTCCAGAGGCATAAGACCTCTGACATGTAGAGCAATTGTAAGTTGCTTTGGATAAAAGCGTCGGCTAAATGAATAAATGTAACGGAGTTTCACTTTAAGAGCTGTAAACACTTCAGATTTTATCAATAACTTCATTAGCTCCGGTTGATTAATAAGCACAACCATATTTTCCATAATTGGAGATTTGCATTGATTGTTCACATCATAGTTCAGCAGCTCAATTACTCTTTAAAGAGGTGGTATTCTGCATGTAACAGGTTTGCAAAGTGAAAAAGCCCAAAGGGAGTTCCCATGTCCCACAGAAAGCTTCACTGCTCTCCATTCAAATCAGCGGGGTGGCTTCGTCCAGTAATAGACTGTCTGTGGCTAAAACGAAGCCTGCAACGCAGGGTGAAAAGAGGAGCTGCAGCAATGTGCAGTCTGACAAAAATATAACCATGTAACCCTTTTCTGGTACAAGCCTTGAATAAGATTTGGAACCTGAAATTGAGCAGATACCACCTCTTTAAATCGACCCCTACATGCACAGATCTCAGATAAGAATTACAAAATCCAATCACTTCCCCCACAAACCAGCAGCCATGGCGACAGACATGTCCAGCTTCCTGAGATTATCATTATCAGCAGCAGGACGTACTCACAGTCAAACCGCGGTTTTCTGCATCAGGCGCTCCACTGCCGAGCTACGAGAATATTCTCTGGTCAGTGAGAACGTTGCAGACTTATTTTCTTCTAGACACTGACACTCACATTTGTATGGTTGGTTTGGGAATTTAAGTGACAACCAGTGGGTGCAAAAGATGAAAGCCCTTGAAACTTAGATCAGCACTTTAAGCAAGGAGGTTAAAGGTCAGTACACCCAAATTTCACTTCCAGGTAGCTGCGTTCTCTTATCTATGAGATGTCTGCAGGTTACATTTCACAGTTGTGAGATCAGATCAAAAAGCTTCCAGTGCTCCAGGACTCACCCTCCGTCCTGCTCCACAGAGCGGTAGGCGTGGCGGTACAGGCAGGAGAAAATGGCGCGGGCGGCATCATTTCGTTCGTCTCGTTCCAGCCGTGAGTGTGGCAGAGCCGGGCAGCGTCGCCCTGACACTTCTTATACAAGATGGGATCCAACCTGTGCAGCAACACAGGGAGCAGTTTCTAATCTCGCATCTTTTCTTCCATAAGTTCAGACAGTAAAGCAGTTTATAACGTGTGGTTTTAGCTAAAGGTCAGCAGGTGAGGTGGTGCTAAGGAGCTGCAGGTTTTTTAGGATTAGCGGGACTCACTTCCAGTCTCTGGCGATAAAGTACTGCAGCTCCAGCAGTCTGTGTTCACAGTCCTCCACCATCTTCTCAGTGTACAGATGCTCCATCAGACATGACAGGATCCTGCAGAACAAATGTAGGTATCAAATATTTAAAAGGTACTTTTTTTGGACTACTACAGACATTTGCCACATACAGAACACAGTACAACCTTTCCTCAAATACTCTTGGGGAACAAAACTTACATGAAAGTGGCCATTTTAGAAGAGAAATAAACTCTAAGAGGAGTTTTCTTTGAATCTGATTATATTTATTTTTTCTGATTGAAACTTGCAATCTGGGTCTTTGCATCAGTGAATAAAAAAGGTTTAGTGAAGAGAACAATTCTAGACAACAAATATGACATGAATACAATGCAGATTTACAGTCAGTAAATCACTGCTTCTAACGCAAAGTTATAGAAGGTGGGACATATTAAGCTGGATTCCTGTGAGCAGTATTCAACCAATGTGATAGGATACCCCACCTCTGTAGAGGTTTTGCTCAATTATAAATTGCATTTTTATGACACATGATATTGTGAAAAATATCACGTCACATGTGTAGACAGACAAAATTAAAAATCTGTGGTGGATACACAGGTACTGAACAGAGATCAGATCATCTAGTAATGCAGGGTTTGAGCGTCACAGAGGACTCACATGGGGTCTCCGTTGCGGATGTGTTTGCAGGCAGTCTGGATGACGGACTCGCAGGCCTCGTTGAGCGCTCGGTCGATGCGGTAGTCGGCTCCGGGGTCGGCTTCCTGGATCAGAGTCTGGAGCTGAGGACGGAAGATACATCATCATCATCAACGGGGGGGGGGACAAAAACACGGGTGTGAGGGGTGCTGCTCTGGGTATCAGAGTTCCTTAAGAAAGAAGCTTTTCACCCCTGCATATTTATTCCTGGAAGTGACTTTACAAACTCAACCTATTAAACTAACCACCAACAGTTTTGCAGCCTGCACACTAGGGGTCGACCAAAGATGGGTCCGATATTCAGCTGATACTCAGCATTTTTCCAATAATGTGCATCGGTGGTTTTAAAACCAGAGAGCCGATATAATTTAAAAATGCGCTCCTCTGGCTCTGATGCAGACGCCTCTCTGTCTGTAGGTCTGAGCAATGCCCGCCCACAGTACTAGCAGATTGGTTACACGTCACGAGAAATAGCCCATCAACACTGGCTGTTGTGCAGAAGCGAGCCGCCACTCAGCAGCCCCTCCCCTCCTCTCTCCGCAGATCAGTGTGGACTAAAATTTAGCAGCTCCTTGTGAACTCCGCTCCTCTACAGCAGCAGCAGAGGGAGGAGGAGGACGACTGACTGAGTTTATTTTACATGCTCCATTTGTTTCCAGTGAGATTCTATATTGTTACTTTACTTTTGTTGCTGCACTGAAAACAGTTATAATAAAATATTAAATTTGATTACCGAATTTATTCTTTTTAAATAACTTTTTTTTTTAATTATATTGTAATGCAAAACTAATGAGTATAGATAAAGAACAGAACCAGTATATCAATAAAAAAAAACATAATACATAAATGGCAGCAGGTAAAGACAAAGTTTATGATAATTTATCCCTCACAGTTAACAAGTCCATCTCTAGGATGATCTCTATTCATTAAATTTACTATTTATAAAGATTAAAAGTGACAATTAACTTTTTGAATAGTTTTGTGTTAAAAATTTTTACAGCAATGTCCATCAGTTCCACATATCAGTCAGTCATCGCTCTAATTGGTTCCTAATAAACAGGAACGGCACAGAAAAACCCACATCGGTCGATCCCTACTGCACACAGAAGTGTCTCAACTTTTTAAGTGATATTGCAAAATGTAACAAAGCATTTCCTTTAGATGCCTGCAGCTCAAGTCGTTCCAGGATAAACGCTATCAACTAGTGGAAAAAAGTCAACGTTTGCATGCTATGTATGTATATATACAGTATGGCTGCTGAAAGCTTGTTTTTGGTAAGTTTTCACAGAGTTCATTTTGACGCCAACTTACCGCCCTCTGACAGTTGGGGTCGATGGATCCCATGTCTCCTCGGCCGACCCGCATCAGGCAGTGCAGCGTTCGTCCTTTGCGGTGCAGACCGGAGCACTGACCCTCGATCTCGCTCCGACAGTGAAGAACGATCTCCGGACTCAGAGAGAAATCCTCCATCAGCATTCGCCTGTAGTCCATCATCTCACCCTGACACTCCCCGCTGACCACCCGACCTGAAACACACACACACACACACACACACACACACACAGTGAGCTCCATGCATTTTATAGGATATCATTTACAGACAATGTCGCAGTTTCACAATAAAGTTTCTCTTTCATGAGTAGGTCGTGAGACAGGAACCTGGTTGTCTTATTGCCGCAATAAGGCTGCTGCAAGAAGCAATAAAGCAACCTCACTGCTGCAACTTCTTTTTCTCAGTTTTCCCCAGTCAGAGCAGTATTTTTCCCTCCTGACTGGAGCAGAGTCAGACTAACAGACAGGTCAGAGGTTCAGGTAATTTGGCTAATAGCGGCCTCTGATGGACATAATTAGTGCGCAGGAAAGAGAGCGATTGACAGGCAGGAGGCTCAGTCTGAGGCCGAGCGTCTCACCTCTGTGTACAGCAGACTCCAGACAGAGCAGCAGGTAGGACAGGCGAGATTCTCGGGCTCGGGGCACGTTGGCGTCTGCGCTGCAGCGGTACTTCCTCAGGTCTGACTTGCAGGCTTTGGCCAGCGAGTAGCTCACCTTGTAGTCCTGAGCGATCAGCTTCTGCCTGGTGGTCAACGCCTCGCGGCACTGAGGGGACACGGACACAGAGGTTCAAACTACGTGGTAGTACATTTTGATCCTTCAACTCCAAAGTGGCAGAATACCAGATAATGTTGGTAACAAGACTTTGTGTGAACACTGGAACAATATAACCTTCAGCTTATGAGTCACTCAACTAACATGAGAATTTAAAGTGAAGGCAGGGCTACAGCTTGTCAGGAAACTAAATTATACCTTGTGTATCAAGGCAAACCTGTTCATTCTCCAGGCCTACTTAGTAAAACTGCAAACCTACTTCTAATAAAAAAACACACACAAACTTCTTCTTGGACGGGTTTGGGTTAGCACAGTGGTGGACAGCACTCACCCTCTCAGACATCGCCTCCTCAAACTTGTGATTGAAGAGACATTTGTAGACTCGACCCTCCCCGGCCAGAGTCTGGAAAACAAAAACAGCCCGTCAACAGCAGTTTGAAATCAAACAAGACCTTCTGTTGACCCCTGACTTTTCCATTGTTTTTATCAAAGGTGTTTTGGGATGAAACTCGTCAACTGCCTCAACGTGAGGCTGCAGAAACATCTCCTGCTCAACTCACACCGTTAACTGTTGCTGGCACCTGGTTGGCCACTAAAACAGAAAGGAAAAACTCTCTTTGTCAACTTGGTCATGAATGCATGAGGTCACTGAGGAGCTGAAGGCTCGATGTGTGACTGATTAGGAGAGGCTCCTCTGCTGCAGGTTTCAGAAAGCCAAACTTAACACGTTTTCTACCAATCAAATTGAATTAAGGGTCAAAAGGTAAAAGGCAAAAACATGCTGGTGAAACCAACATGTCTGGAAATTAAGACAAAGCACAACAGGAAATAAGTTCTAAAAGGATATGAAATACATTAGTAGTCAGAAATAGAAACGATGCACGAATCAATCATTGACTTAAGTGTGAAAGTCAGCTGCTTTCCAAACCCTCATCACCTAATATAAACCTTTCAGAGCTCTGTGGACGTGCGCATTAAGATTGTCAACTAAATCCTCACGTTTTCACAGAAGCGTTCTCGGTCCTCGCGGCAGGAGAAGTAGAGGTAGCGGTCCAGGTGGAAGTCGTCCGACGAGAGCTCGGCGATTCTCATGATGGACTTCTTGCATTCTTCCTTGATGGGTTGCGCCCCCGGCTGCTCCTCGGCCTCCCGCACTAGACCTTTCTCCAGACAGGCGATCACCTCGCCCTGAGAGTGGAGGTCCTGCAGAGAGAGAGAGTCAGGGTCCGTTAGTCAGCGAGTAATATCAGGTATCAGAGTCTGTCATTCTGCTCTTATATGATAAGGATTCCTTTTTATTTCAGTTTCCTACGTCATATAATATATAATGTACATGTTGTTTAGAGTTTCAGTTCAGGTTGGGAGGTACTTCTTAACCAGTTGTACACATGCAAAATATGCAAATGTTTGACCAGCAGATGCCTCGTCACTTCAGTGTTGCAACAGCTTTACCACAGCAGCCTTTCGTCAGCTTGCTTTGAGGAACCTCCTTTTGTTGGAGGCTTATCAAGGAGGGTCACGCTCATCCGAAAACAAAACACCAGAAACAGTGTCCTTGTACCTCTGGATAAGAACAAAATGTAAAAGCTCCGTATTTGTATAGCGCCTTTCTGACCACTTTTACTGCATTCACCAGTCACACACATTCATACACTGAGCCTAAGTGCTCAAACAGAAACTAACATTCACACACATTCATACACTGGCGAAACAACCGGTTCAGTATTTTGCCCAAGGACACCTCGACACGCAACCAGGGGGAGCCGGGGATTGAACCGCCAACCCGCTCTACCTCCTGAGCCACAGCCGCCCCATAATGATCCTCCCGCACACTGGCAACAGGATCATTTCATCTGTACAGAGTAATTCGGTGAAAACTGATGACCGTTTGTTCTGTGCTTTATCCACAGTAAGTTCAACAGGTTATAGGGTGAAACTGAGTTTGTAACTCCCCTCTGCTACGTAGCAGAGAATACACATTAACATAGAAGCAGAAATAAATTATATTCAGTGGGCTGAGGATGAAAAAGTCTGACAGAGTCTTGCAGTCTGGTGGCTGAACTGACCCTCTGAACTTTTTATTCCACACATTCTTCGTTGTCAAAACCAAACGCCTACATTACCCACAATGCAACTCGACCACCCACAGTTTGGTGTGAGATTAGGGAGCGTTGTGCTAGTAGCGGGCTACAGAGGTCTCGCACCAACAGATGAAGTAGTACTTCCAGACACCTGGAAGCACACTTTGACAAGTTCAATAATCGCCATATTTATTTAGACTGTACCATGACAACTGATGTATCAACATTTAACGGAAACTTATTGGGTAGAACTTTACTACCTGCCCTAAACCGCCAACAGCCGATAGTCATGTAGAGAGGAACTGAACTTCCACTGAGAACAAACTCCTCCTCTCTTTTTCCAGAAGTGAAGACGTTTGATGTGAAATCCAAAGCACTGTACAGCTCTTTGAAAACAAAAACTCTTTTAAGAAAATAAAAAGACAAACTATGTAGATTACAGCATCACTAATCCCAGTAGAGCGCCGTTTCCTTTCACTCACAAGTCATGTTGTCAGAGAGAGTCTGGTATTTTTTCAGAGAAGCTCCGTCAGAGTAAACCTGGTCAGTCTAATCTCCCCTCCGAGCTGACAAATTCCTGATAATGAAGCCGACTCCGCTCCCGCTGACAAATAATTATTTGCTCCGAGTTCTAATTATGCCGACGTGATATCCCATAATAACTGCATGTGTAACGGGCTTCTGAGGTTCAGCTTGGCTCAGCGGCGAGATCGATTGGCTCAAACTTCTTTTCCCATTCCAGCCGAGTGGAAGCAGCCGGTTCACAAGAGGCACCTCGGTGTGTAAACTGGTCAGACACTCACAAAATACTGGACAGGACAGTTCTTTCTTAGCTGCCCACCCTCTGGCTCTGCAGCACAGGTTTCGCGCTGTACCCCAAACATTTCTGCATGCTGCTACGATTGATGCGTGTAAACTAATCGTGCTTTTCCGAAAGATCCTAATGACTAATTGCAATAAAATACTACTACAGGGCTACTTCCTGTTGGCACCAGCGTCTACTGCACATGATCGCGCAGCGTAACCGTGGTTTAATGATGTAGAACAGCTGCAGAAACAAAAAGTCTCATGGCTCAGTGTGTTTGTCTGACTCGGATCGTCACTGTTTAATCAGCCCACCTACGAGGCTCACCTGCCAAACACCAACACAGCGTCACTGATCGCCAAATATCTTTTTTAGATTGCGGAGAGTCTATAATCTAAGCAGTACGGTTACGTCTCTCATGTGCGACGGGGGAGTCATTTTTGGGCCCGCATGGATCCCTCCCAGCAGGCTTTGGTCGGCTTCACTGTCAGTGAGGTGACAGACACTCTTACTCCAAATCACTTGACTGATGAAAAATGTGATAATACTGTTGAGCCCCAACATACTGACAGCCCTAATTTACATTTATTCATTCAGCTGACGCTTTTATCCAAAGCCACTTATAATTGCCATGCGTGTCAGAGGTCGCACGCCTCTGGAGCAACGAGGGGTTAAGTGTCTTGCTCAGGGTCGCATTGGTCTCTCACACCAAAGGCACGTGTCTTATCCACTGTTCCATCACCACCATTTTAACAGATGTATTCCAGTATGTTCAGCCAGATGACCCAGTACGAGCATGGAGGTGGTTCTTCCATGTTTTTGTTCTATAAATCCTGACTAGTTAGTTTAAATGAGTTTCATTGACCGGCCTGTTACCCCTGCATGGTTTAAATGTCTAGTTTTGGATATAGTATCTCACAAAAGTGAGTACGCTCCTCACATTTTTGTAAATATTCTTCTCATGTGACGACACTTCGCTAGCGAGCGTGCGTGCAGCTTGTGTAACATGTATAACAGTGTAAAGTAGCGAGCGTGCAGCTTGTATAACAGTGTAAAGTAGCGAGCGTGCAGCTTGTATAACAGTGTAAAGTAGCGGGCGTACAGCTTGTAGAACAGTGTAAAGTAGCGGGCGTACAGCTTGTAGAACAGTGTAAAGTAGCGGGCGTACAGCTTGTAGAACAGTGTAAAGTAGCGGGCGTACAGCTTGTAGAACAGTGTAAAGTAGCGAGCGTGCAGCTTGTATAACAGTGTAAAGTAGCGGGCGTGCAGCTTGTGTAACAGTGTAAAGTAGCGGGCGTGCAGCTTGTATAACAGTGTAAAGTAGCGAGCGTGCAGCTTGTATAACAGTGTAAAGTAGCGAGCGTGCAGCTTGTATAACAGTGTAAAGTAGCGAGCGTACAGCTTGTATAACAGCGTAAAGTAGCGAGCGTGCAGCTTGTATAACAGCGTAAAGTAGCGAGCGTGCAGCTTGTGTAACATGTATAACAGTGTAAAGTAGCGAGCGTGCAGCTTGTATAACAGCGTAAAGTAGCGAGCGTGCAGCTTGTGTAACATGTATAACAGTGTAAAGTAGCGAGCGTACAGCTTGTATAACAGTGTAAAGTAGCGAGCGTACAGCTTGTATAACAGCGTAAAGTAGCGAGCGTGCAGCTTGTGTAACAGCGTAAAGTAGCGAGCGTGCAGCTTGTGTAACATGTATAACAGCGTAAAGTAGCGAGCGTACAGCTTGTGTAACATGTATAACAGTGTAAAGTAGCGAGCGTACAGCTTGTGTAACTTGTGTAACTTGTGTAACAGCGTAAAGTAGCGAGCGTGCAGCTTGTGTAACATGTATAACAGCGTAAAGTAGCGAGCGTGCAGCTTGTATAACAGTGTAAAGTAGCGAGCGTGCAGCTTGTATAACAGTGTAAAGTAGCGAGCGTGCAGCTTGTATAACAGTGTAAAGTAGCGGGCGTACAGCTTGTATAACAGTGTAAAGTAGCGGGCGTGCAGCTTGTATAACAGTGTAAAGTAGCGGGCGTGCAGCTTGTATAACAGTGTAAAGTAGCGAGCGTGCAGCTTGTATAACAGCGTAAAGTAGCGAGCGTGCAGCTTGTATAACAGCGTAAAGTAGCGGGCGTACAGCTTGTATAACAGCGTAAAGTAGCGGGCGTGCAGCTTGTATAACAGTGTAAAGTAGCGAGCGTGCAGCTTGTGTAACATGTATAACAGCGTAAAGTAGCGAGCGTACAGCTTGTATAACAGCGTAAAGTAGCGAGCGTGCAGCTTGTATAACAGCGTAAAGTAGCGAGCGTGCAGCTTGTATAACAGCGTAAAGTAGCGAGCGTGCAGCTTGTATAACAGCGTAAAGTAGCGAGCGTGCAGCTTGTATAACAGCGTAAAGTAGCGAGCGTGCAGCTTGTATAACAGTGTAAAGTAGCGAGCGTGCAGCTTGTATAACAGTGTAAAGTAGCGAGCGTACAGCTTGTGTAACATGTATAACAGCGTAAAGTAGCGAGCGTACAGCTTGTATAACAGCGTAAAGTAGCGAGCGTGCAGCTTGTATAACAGTGTAAAGTAGCGAGCGTGCAGCTTGTATAACAGTGTAAAGTAGCGAGCGTACAGCTTGTGTAACATGTATAACAGCGTAAAGTAGCGAGCGTACAGCTTGTATAACAGCGTAAAGTAGCGAGCGTACAGCTTGTATAACAGCGTAAAGTAGCGAGCGTGCAGCTTGTGTAACATGTATAACAGCGTAAAGTAGCGAGCGTGCAGCTTGTATAACAGCGTAAAGTAGCGAGCGTGCAGCTTGTATAACAGCGTAAAGTAGCGAGCGTGCAGCTTGTATAACAGTGTAAAGTAGCGAGCGTGCAGCTTGTATAACAGTGTAAAGTAGCGAGCGTGCAGCTTGTATAACAGTGTAAAGTAGCGAGCGTACAGCTTGTGTAACATGTATAACAGCGTAAAGTAGCGAGCGTACAGCTTGTATAACAGTGTAAAGTAGCGAGCGTACAGCTTGTATAACAGCGTAAAGTAGCGAGCGTGCAGCTTGTATAACATGTATAACAGCGTAAAGTAGCGAGCGTACAGCTTGTGTAACAGCGTAAAGTAGCGAGCGTGCAGCTTGTATAACATGTATAACAGCGTAAAGTAGCGAGCGTACAGCTTGTGTAACAGCGTAAAGTAGTGAGCGTACAGCTTGTGTAACATGTATAACAGCGTAAAGTAGCGAGCGTGCAGCTTGTATAACAGCGTAAAGTAGCGAGCGTACAGCTTGTATAACAGCGTAAAGTAGCGAGCGTACAGCTTGTATAACAGCGTAAAGTAGCGAGCGTACAGCTTGTATAACAGCGTAAAGTAGCGAGCGTGCAGCTTGTATAACAGCGTAAAGTAGTGAGCGTGCAGCTTGTGTAACAGCGTAAAGTAGCGAGCGTACAGCTTGTGTAACATGTATAACAGCGTAAAGTAGCGAGCGTACAGCTTGTATAACAGCTTGTAGAACAGTGTAAAGTAGCGGGCGTACAGCTTGTAGAACAGTGTAAAGTAGCGGGCGTACAGCTTGTATAACAGTGTAAAGTAGCGAGCGTGCAGCTTGTATAACAGTGTAAAGTAGCGAGCGTGCAGCTTGTGTAACAGTGTAAAGTAGCGAGCGTGCAGCTTGTATAACAGTGTAAAGTAGCGAGCGTGCAGCTTGTATAACAGTGTAAAGTAGCGAGCGTGCAGCTTGTATAACAGCGTAAAGTAGCGAGCGTACAGCTTGTATAACAGCGTAAAGTAGCGAGCGTGCAGCTTGTATAACAGCGTAAAGTAGCGAGCGTGCAGCTTGTGTAACATGTATAACAGTGTAAAGTAGCGAGCGTGCAGCTTGTATAACAGCGTAAAGTAGCGAGCGTGCAGCTTGTGTAACATGTATAACAGTGTAAAGTAGCGAGCGTACAGCTTGTATAACAGTGTAAAGTAGCGAGCGTACAGCTTGTATAACAGCTCAAAGTAGCGAGCGTGCAGCTTGTGTAACAGCGTAAAGTAGCGAGCGTGCAGCTTGTGTAACATGTATAACAGCGTAAAGTAGCGAGCGTACAGCTTGTGTAACTTGTGTAACAGCGTAAAGTAGCGAGCGTGCAGCTTGTGTAACATGTATAACAGTGTAAAGTAGCGAGCGTGCAGCTTGTATAACAGTGTAAAGTAGCGAGCGTGCAGCTTGTATAACAGTGTAAAGTAGCGGGCGTACAGCTTGTATAACAGTGTAAAGTAGCGAGCGTACAGCTTGTATAACAGTGTAAAGTAGCGGGCGTACAGCTTGTATAACAGTGTAAAGTAGCGAGCGTGCAGCTTGTATAACAGTGTAAAGTAGCGAGCGTGCAGCTTGTATAACAGCGTAAAGTAGCGAGCGTGCAGCTTGTATAACAGTGTAAAGTAGCGAGCGTGCAGCTTGTATAACAGTGTAAAGTAGCGAGCGTGCAGCTTGTATAACAGTGTAAAGTAGCGAGCGTACAGCTTGTGTAACATGTATAACAGCGTAAAGTAGCGAGCGTACAGCTTGTATAACAGTGTAAAGTAGCGAGCGTACAGCTTGTATAACAGCGTAAAGTAGCGAGCGTGCAGCTTGTATAACATGTATAACAGCGTAAAGTAGCGAGCGTACAGCTTGTGTAACAGCGTAAAGTAGCGAGCGTGCAGCTTGTATAACATGTATAACAGCGTAAAGTAGCGAGCGTACAGCTTGTGTAACAGCGTAAAGTAGTGAGCGTACAGCTTGTGTAACATGTATAACAGCGTAAAGTAGCGAGCGTGCAGCTTGTGTAACAGTGTAAAGTAGCGAGCGTGCAGCTTGTATAACAGTGTAAAGTAGCGAGCGTGCAGCTTGTATAACAGTGTAAAGTAGCGAGCGTACAGCTTGTATAACAGCGTAAAGTAGCGAGCGTGCAGCTTGTATAACAGCGTAAAGTAGCGAGCGTGCAGCTTGTGTAACATGTATAACAGTGTAAAGTAGCGAGCGTGCAGCTTGTATAACAGCGTAAAGTAGCGAGCGTGCAGCTTGTGTAACATGTATAACAGTGTAAAGTAGCGAGCGTACAGCTTGTATAACAGTGTAAAGTAGCGAGCGTACAGCTTGTATAACAGCTCAAAGTAGCGAGCGTGCAGCTTGTGTAACAGCGTAAAGTAGCGAGCGTGCAGCTTGTGTAACATGTATAACAGCGTAAAGTAGCGAGCGTACAGCTTGTGTAACTTGTGTAACAGCGTAAAGTAGCGAGCGTGCAGCTTGTGTAACATGTATAACAGTGTAAAGTAGCGAGCGTGCAGCTTGTATAACAGTGTAAAGTAGCGAGCGTGCAGCTTGTATAACAGTGTAAAGTAGCGGGCGTGCAGCTTGTATAACAGTGTAAAGTAGCGAGCGTACAGCTTGTGTAACTTGTGTAACAGCGTAAAGTAGCGAGCGTGCAGCTTGTGTAACATGTATAACAGTGTAAAGTAGCGAGCGTGCAGCTTGTATAACAGTGTAAAGTAGCGAGCGTACAGCTTGTATAACAGTGTAAAGTAGCGAGCGTACAGCTTGTATAACAGTGTAAAGTAGCGAGCGTGCAGCTTGTATAACAGTGTAAAGTAGCGAGCGTGCAGCTTGTATAACAGTGTAAAGTAGCGAGCGTGCAGCTTGTATAACAGTGTAAAGTAGCGAGCGTGCAGCTTGTATAACAGTGTAAAGTAGCGAGCGTACAGCTTGTATAACAGTGTAAAGTAGCGAGCGTACAGCTTGTATAACAGCGTAAAGTAGCGAGCGTGCAGCTTGTATAACATGTATAACAGCGTAAAGTAGCGAGCGTACAGCTTGTGTAACAGCGTAAAGTAGCGAGCGTGCAGCTTGTATAACATGTATAACAGCGTAAAGTAGCGAGCGTACAGCTTGTATAACAGCGTAAAGTAGCGAGCGTACAGCTTGTATAACAGCGTAAAGTAGCGAGCGTACAGCTTGTATAACAGCGTAAAGTAGCGAGCGTACAGCTTGTATAACAGCGTAAAGTAGCGAGCGTGCAGCTTGTATAACAACGTAAAGTAGTGAGCGTGCAGCTTGTGTAACAGCGTAAAGTAGCGAGCGTACAGCTTGTGTAACATGTATAACAGCGTAAAGTAGCGAGCGTACAGCTTGTATAACAGCTTGTAGAACAGTGTAAAGTAGCGGGCGTACAGCTTGTAGAACAGTGTAAAGTAGCGGGCGTACAGCTTGTAGAACAGTGTAAAGTAGCGGGCGTACAGCTTGTATAACAGTGTAAAGTAGCGAGCGTGCAGCTTGTATAACAGTGTAAAGTAGCGAGCGTGCAGCTTGTGTAACAGTGTAAAGTAGCGAGCGTGCAGCTTGTATAACAGTGTAAAGTAGCGAGCGTGCAGCTTGTATAACAGTGTAAAGTAGCGAGCGTGCAGCTTGTATAACAGCGTAAAGTAGCGAGCGTGCAGCTTGTATAACAGCGTAAAGTAGCGAGCGTGCAGCTTGTGTAACATGTATAACAGTGTAAAGTAGCGAGCGTGCAGCTTGTATAACAGCGTAAAGTAGCGAGCGTGCAGCTTGTGTAACATGTATAACAGTGTAAAGTAGCGAGCGTACAGCTTGTATAACAGTGTAAAGTAGCGAGCGTACAGCTTGTATAACAGCTCAAAGTAGCGAGCGTGCAGCTTGTGTAACAGCGTAAAGTAGCGAGCGTGCAGCTTGTGTAACATGTATAACAGCGTAAAGTAGCGAGCGTACAGCTTGTGTAACTTGTGTAACAGCGTAAAGTAGCGAGCGTGCAGCTTGTGTAACATGTATAACAGTGTAAAGTAGCGAGCGTGCAGCTTGTATAACAGTGTAAAGTAGCGAGCGTGCAGCTTGTATAACAGTGTAAAGTAGCGAGCGTGCAGCTTGTATAACAGTGTAAAGTAGCGAGCGTGCAGCTTGTATAACAGTGTAAAGTAGCGGGCGTACAGCTTGTATAACAGTGTAAAGTAGCGAGCGTACAGCTTGTATAACAGTGTAAAGTAGCGAGCGTGCAGCTTGTATAACAGTGTAAAGTAGCGAGCGTGCAGCTTGTATAACAGTGTAAAGTAGCGAGCGTGCAGCTTGTATAACAGTGTAAAGTAGCGAGCGTACAGCTTGTATAACAGTGTAAAGTAGCGGGCGTACAGCTTGTATAACAGTGTAAATTTGCGGTCCCCTCAAAATAACACATTGCAGTGAGCGGTTGTACTTTTAGTCACTTTGGGTCTCACCTTCTCTCCGGTGCTGATGCTGCCGCAGTGCAGATTGTTGATGTCGCTGCGGCACTTCTCCATGAAGCCGCAGATCAGCCGGAAGTCGCTGAAGACGATGGTGGTCATCTTGGTGATGTACTGGTTGCACTGGTAGTCGCTGATGTTGCCACGATGATCCACCAGGCAGGACACCAGGTAGCCCTTCCCCGGCTCCTCCGCTGCACATTCTTTAATCTGCAGGAAGAGCGCAGACAGCGTCACGACTGTAACTGCTAGGAACTGAACACCACCTGCAGCTTCATTAGGACAAAGACACAATAGGCTTATGGGTCATCCGAGAGTCTCTAGTGATGCTGTTCAGACAGTCACTGACAACAAGGTTTAAACTTAACTAATGAACAAACATCTGCAACATTTTACTAATTCAGTTATTCTCTTATGACGACATCAACATTTCTTCTTTTTAATCAGCAGCTAAAATTCAAAGCATTTTTAATCCAAACTCTTCCTCTTTACGTTGACTCCCTGTAAAGAAGAATGTTGTATGAGATTCATTTAATGACCCTGGGTCTTCTTATTTCCTGTAAAGTTCTGGATCAACTTTCAGACGCTTTTAATGACTAATAAAAAGGCACTACACGGCGTAGCTCCTCCTCCTCTTAGGAGATCCAACCACAACCTGTTGGCTGTACATCGTGCCAAACTAAAAACCAAAGGCCAGGGTTAAGGGCTCTTTTGTTGTCCTGGCACCCAGACTTTGGAACAATGCCCCCCCTCTCCCATCAGATCAGCTGACTGATTTAAACCACATTTAAAAACCCACTTCTTTAGGTTGTCTATGATTTTAAAGGGTGTGTTCTGCTTGGTGACTGGTTGCTTTCTGGGTTATGTTCTTTTCTCTGCATTGTTGTTAAACCCCTGTTAAAAATGTGCTATATAAAGTTTTAAATTTTGATGTACAAATACAGAAACAAATGGCCTAAAACAGCTTCCTATCATCATAACGATTTCAGTAAAATAATCCTCCCTTTCCAATACAAAGCTTTATGCCGCATTCAGACCAAACGCAAATTTTCTCCTCGCGCGAGTATATTCGCTGCAAGTGTTCACACACACACACACACACACACACACACACACACACCCCTAGAAGCCGATTTTAAACGCAATAACGTGAATTACTACAACTATACTATACTAGTTACTACTATAACTGCATGAACCCAAAGTAAACATTTTGCTGTGATTAAAGAGCAATAAACGGATCAAACTGATGCTGAAACAACTACAACATGATGCTGTTCTGTTAGACACATGAATTGATGCTTTGTCAGGTCTGTCAGCAGGACAGCAGCTTCTAACATGTTTGTTTTCTGAATGGAGTTCGGATCGATCAGGGCTATGCTACGCTAACTTGGTCACCGTAAAGTACGACGACAGCTGGAATAAAGTTACAGACGCATGTTTTCTGAGTAGTTCAACCTCCTCGCTTTCTGTCCAGTTTTTATATAAATATGAAGTAGTGCCAAACGACGCCAGCAACACTGGAACGTGCACAGAAGCTGCTGAGAAGCTCAAGTGAAGATAAATCCACGTTGTAATCCAAAAAACTAAAAAGTAAATTTAATAAAAAGCCGTTTACTCCGAGCTCCTCCCTCAAGCAAACGCCGTAGTTGTCAGCAAGGTCGGACTGGACGGGTGTTTATTTGTAGCAGCGCTCAGCCGGCCTGCAGATTTTCAATCCCCCGCTCTGCCCGGCTCTCTCCACACGACGCTCTGAGCCGTCGGTGACGTACAGACAATCTCAACACTGATAGGCTATCGCAACACAGCGTCATGCGAATTCCTTTTTCGTCTCACGCAACTCCTGAGAAAATTATCTGGCAGCTAAATGTTGTACTTTCTTTACCAGCTGGTATCCAACTGCGTCTGTCTGCTGAGCAGGTCGTGTACAGCGGCTTTACCAGAGCTAGTTTGATGAAAACTGCTGCTGCTGGAGGTAAGGTTAGTAAGAGCGTGGAGAGTGACCCTAAGCCAACTAGAAGCAGAAAGATGCTAAAACGCTCTGTAGAACCGAGAGAAAACGCTGAGATGGGTGATCATTTTCCCGCTGATTTTCCACTTGCCTGTCTTCTGTTTCTTTATGCCGTCTACACATTATCAAAGCCTGCAGATGTTTGCTTCATTTGTGTTGAGGTGCTTTGAGATCTCTCAGACACCACACAAAGCAACTCATCATACTTTAACAAACAAGCAGGCTGAGCTACTCATCTACAATCTCATTAGGAAATCAAGTTCTTAGCAACACCTGCTTCAAAGCCGAGCTGATTACAGATTACCGCTTCCTGTATATAAGAATCAGGCGCGGCCTTGAAAAACATGTTTTCATTTCCCACAGATGTGACAAGCCTGTTGATGTCCCCTAACAGTCGAAGTCTTTCCTGAACTGACTTGAGCTGAAACTTCATTTAGTTAAAAAAAAAAAAATCAGGCTGAACTGAACAGATTGTGGTTTCGAAATGGATAAAGGTTTTATTGGAGACCTTGTGGTTTTATGTTTTTCACTTTCTGCTAAATCTCCCTTTTTTTAACCGAGGAGGAATCCAAATATGTTTCTGAGAGCGGCAGTGAAGAGGAGCAGGATCGTTCTCGTCAGACCACTACAGCAGCTGTGTGGACTGTCAACAAACAAAGAGCCTGGTAGATGGAAAAAAACAAAAAACAAAACGTGGACGAGACTGGGGCCGATTCCTTTACACTCAGCTACAAGCACTAAACACCACACCTGATCATTTCCTGGAAGCTGAGATAAAAATCCTGCACTGCTTTGGTTCTAGAGACTTACCTCAGGGATGGTGGTCTTGCAGACCTCCATGGCCACAGACTCAAACTTCGGGTCGGTGGTCAGGTTCAGCTTGTAGTTCCACAGCAGCTGGAGGAGAGAAGATACATAAAACATCAGATTTATACTCACTATCCAGATCCAGACAGAGTCTAACAAACTGGATCATGATGTTACTTCCGTCTCTCTTATCAAAACGCTGTCATTATTAAACTTCTGTGGCCGGCGTTAGAATAAAACATGCCTTTAATTCACACGGTACAACTTGGCATTTTTGTTGTGATGGATTTGATTTGCATGCCAAAATAGCCACTGTAGGTTAAAACTGGGCAAAATTTGGTTTCAAAGTTACATATAATTATTATTTCAGCAGTATTTACGTGCTTAACACTGAAATGCAGTCCTTTAAATGCTGTTGCAAAAAACAGATTTATGATGCAACATCTAATTTAACCGGGTGATACAGTTGAGAGCTCAGGGGGAAAAGTTAGTAAGTGGCTCTGGTATTTTCTCCAAGGTCAAGAACAAACTTTGATGCCTACATTTTAAGCTAGAGCAGACGAGAATATCTCAAGGCGCTGTGGATGAAATCTGAAAAGCTAATAAGCTTGCAGGTTGAAAGTAAGTGGACCTTGATTTGGGACCTAAAACTCAGCAAATCAATGCTCATCTTGGTTGTTCAAGAACCAAACTCGTGCATATATCAGTGGAGAAAATCCTACACACATGGAATGACAGGATAAAGCGGTGCAGGCTGGGAAGTGGAGTTTAACACAGTGACACCAGGAGGAAAGACACTTACATGGTTGCATTCTGCAGCGATCTCAGTTTCCTGAAAGAGACGAGAGAAAGGAGAGGTTAGAGCGTAAACTGCAGAGAACTTTCTCCTTTTGACTGTGGTAGATTCGTGTCTTTATGAATGAAGCGGCTACTCAATATGTCACCTGTGCCATTTCATTGTTTGCCTAAAGTTGGAGGACCTTTGCAACATCCCATAATCCACTGCAAGCTCGTCCGTAGTAGATTAATCGGTTGGCCTGCACTCCTGAGGCCGATAAACAAACTGTCCGCCCTGAACACGTATCTTCATCTCCAATCTAATCCAACGCCTTCCCTAACCAGCGTTACATATATTATTATACTGTAGAGAACTAACTGAACCCTGCTCTCCCTTAAACCCCGGCCACCTTCTGAAATCTACAGCAGAAGCCAAATTATGTTTTTATGCATTTAAAGTATCCCCATTAGCAGATGCCATGACGGTCAGCTCATCTTCCTGGAGTCCACACCAGACATACTTTACACAACACATTACAATTAACTGCACTATTTTATATTAAACGACCTCAATTTATTGTGCATTCATATATATTAAAAGAAAAAGAAAACAAATGCATATTTGCAATTTAAGCATTCATATACAATCCTATCACCACTACATACCATACAAGTAGGAGGAATCCTAATTGAAAACACTATTTTATCCATTAAAATCTGAAACAACGGATAACAGGCCAAGAAAACGTATATATTAGATTGTGCTCTGCATGAAAGAACGAGATTACGCGTCACTTTTCTTTGTTACTGGCATTTTATCATGTTGAAAAATTGGCACCGGCCATTAAAAAAGAGCCATATCGGTGGAGCGCTAGTCTGCAGCGCGAGGGTGCATTCAGGCGGGTGTTGTGGAGCCTGGCAGCGGTGTCAGGCGAGGACATCGTGGTTAAACCGTCTCATTTAAGGACCAGAGGCCAGTGAGAGTCATTTTCCTGCCGTGCTCCGTTGACCTGAGGTAAACCGGCCTTAACTTCCAGCCCCGACCGGCAGCCAAACGCCTGCAGACCTACAGCGTTTGCCATTTCTGCCCGTTTTCCACATGGCAGCCGCACCGTGAGCCAGGAATAGGCCGTCTGTGGGATGGGGGGGGGGGCGTACTGCAGAGGACTGACAGATGTTATAAACAGCACAGAGCTGACTCAGTGCTCAGCTGGGGAGAAGAGAAATAAATAAAGGGTCCTGGAAATGTGACCCAGACTGACCTGCTGACACGCCCACCAGCAGAACAGCAGAGCAGTACTGGTCCAGATGTACAAAGTACTTTGTTTATTTTAAATATTTCGGCCGGGGTCTCTTGGCATTAAACAGCTTCTGCCTTGTGTTGCCTATAGAGACGATGTTTTCTTTGTAGACACAATAAACATTCCCGATGGATTTTTTCATTAATACATCTTACTTTTGATTAAATGGCCTCCAGCTGATTACACTAGCAGCCCGCCACTGCAGTTAGCTATAAAACATGTCACGGAGCACGTTGTACCTGCTCCCTCCCGCCCTACAGCCTTTATCTAAAGGGATAATTACCACACATGAAATCCTGCGGTTTAGCCGACTTCACCGACATTCAGCGCCAGAGACGAGATCACGAGAGCAAAGTGGGAGTGAGCAGAACGCCCGTCACCGGTTCCACTACATTTAGCTTTGCACTTATGTCCTTTTGAGACAAGCTGCGACTGTTGTATCCTGTTCTGTGAATAATACACAAATACACATGAATACACATCGGGGTCCTGGATCCTTCTCAAGACTTAGGAGACAGCCCGAAAAACTAAATAAACAAAATGACAAAATACAATTTGTACCCAATAATGAAAAAAATCCAGGAGGAACCCCATTTACTGTAAACGGGCTTAAAGTCAGTACACGCCTTCCTGCCGGGTAAAATAAAATCTGACGGCTACGATGTGGGTAAAAACTTTTAATTATTTAATCCATTTATAGATTAAAAAGCTCATAGGTTGTACAACCACATGTAAATATAAATATCCTATAAATCTAATATTGTCATAAGGAAGTTTAACCCGACCGAGACTGATTTTGATATTTGAGGATTTTAAATCTGATTTATTGGTATTGGATATTACTAAAATCCTCGTTGACTGTCACATAACAAAACTCTAAAGGCAGCTATTCAAATAAGAAAAGCTGACTTTGTATTTAGTTCATCACCTTCCTAAGATGGAAATCAGAGACCGCTCAGCTCCCTGATTGTTCTGTTTATGGAGGCGTAAGCTGTAATTCCGGTTCCTCTGACCGCCACCTGAAATCATCAGATCGCGTTTGTTGGTAATGTGAACACCGTCAGAGTCTGATGCCGGGTCGACACCTCGGCGCGGGTCCGTTTGATTTTCTGTGGAAAACCCGACCTCTTCCCCTGCTCAGTCCGCCAGCTCTGCACTGACCAGACAAACATCACTTCACGCCGCCGCAGAACCCAGTGTGACTCATGTGGGCGTCCACCCAGCTCTGTGAGGAAAGCCAAAACCTCTCAGCTGTTTAATCCTGTGTAGGTTTAAACGCCAAGATAAACTAACTATGATGAAACCAGCCCGCTTCTGAAAGTTACTGTTCAGGTAAATCACACTGTTGTATTAATCCACCTGTGTGAAACTCAGTGTGAGCAGCGGTTAGAGCTGTAATCTGACAGGAGGGGGGAAGAAAACCAACACAGCGACACACCCAGCCACATACTTCAGGCTCTTTGTTCACCGACGCTGCTTCCTCACTCAGAATGACAACTGTGAAAACCTCCGTCTCATTTAATAGCTGCAGCTAAACCAAACTTAATCAGCTCTCTACGTTTGGTCCGGCTTGAGTTTGTGACACTGACACAGGAAGTGTCCTTCCCAACACCTTCCGAGTCCTGAAACAGCGCAGCAGCTACGGCCTTCATGACGCTTTCTGAGCCCTGCTTCCTGAAGCTGAATACAAACCTACTGAAAACCTTCACAATTAAAAAGAATTTGACAATAAAGACATTGGACCAGCTGATTGCCACCACAGAACGCAGCCTTATCTATATTTGGTTCCAGTGTTGAGTACCTGGCATCTGCTGATCATCTTATCGACGTCTGTTTGGTTTATAATATGATCATTATAACAAAGAAAGAAACTTCACATTTGAGAAGCTGGACGCAGCTTTTGTTTTTATTTATAGAGCACATTTAAAAAGAAAAAACAGGTTTAATAAAGGAATAAAACATAAGAGGTTCAAGAACAATTCAGCGGCTTCAACAGCAGAAGAGCACACTGCCCAGAGTTTGAGCTGACAGTCGTATACCTGCAGAGAGTTAATGTTCTTCGTGATAGACGCCAGACACGCCAGCGCCATCTTAACCGCACTTTCTGCTTCGTACCATCAACTAACAGCTGAATATCGACGCAGTGTTTTAAAACTACATGTAAGGCTGTGCAATTAATCGAAGCTTCAGCCTGAGACTCAAAGCTTCACAGTTCACATATCGTTTATGCTTAAACCGGGCGTGTCAAGCGTTGCTGCACCTGCTCCGTGCCCCCGTCTTCTACCACAGGCGGATTTAGCAGTTTCCTCACCGTTTAACTTGAACAGCCCTGTTAAATTTGGGCGTTACGTCACATAACGAGTGGGCGTCTTCACCCGTCACCTGCTCCGATCCGTGTGCACGCACAAACACACAGACGCAGCGTCGCCGTCTTCCTCTTGGCTCTAAGATGCTGTTAAAGTTAAAAACATTTCATTACTATTATGGGCTATTTTGGATAATGCATAATCGTTTTAAAAAATGAAGCATTTATTTTTAAAAGTCCCATAAATGCACGACGTTTCCTAAGTCAATCAATAATCGTGTTCATTTCAATTATGACCATAAAAAAAAAAATCGCGATTATGACTTTTGCCAAAAATCAAGCAGCCTTCTGTAAATGCAGGCATTAAAGAGGGCAGCAAGTGACTTATTCTTTTTAATTAATTAATCTACCCGTTATAATTTCCCAGGACCCTTTCAACACCTTCAGTTTTCTTTCTGTCTGACCAAAACTCAAAGATATCATGTTTACAGCAAATAGAGAAAAGCAGCTAATCCTCCCAGAGAAGGTGTTTCTGCATGTGAAGAGGACTTCAACCAAACAGTTTAAACAACTTTCTGCTTACCAACTAACAGATAAATGCATTTAAAAAACATAGCACACAAGCAAATGTCATGCTTCAGAGACAAGAACTGCTCTGGAGTGTTACAGAGCAAAGAGCCACAAATAAGACACACAGCAGACCGTCTCCTGCAGCAAACCCGGATCTCGATGCGCCTGCATCCTGTAACATCTGGAGTTACAGTGAGCGACGCACGCAGAGTTTATAATCAGGCCATCAAAAACTAATCCAACAGGACAACGGTCCACCTCCGGCTGCACACTGTTTGCTTTCTGAAGAGCGGGGTGGGGCAGTATTCACACAGCTTGTGACGTTTCATCAAACTGTGGCGCAGAACAGAAAGCTTTCTTTAGTCTAAAGACTTTTCTGCAACACTTCACCACACTTCCCTGTAAGTGATAAGCTGACCAGACTTAGTGGCGTGCTTTTTATCAGGTTCGTGTTTACTTTGTTATCCTCCAATCAAATGAACATTTTAAAAAGGCAACAAGTGAAGAGATTCACAAACCAAAAACAGATGAAAGGCATTCACATGTTACATATAGTCCAAAACTGAAAGTAATCCATTTATGTAAAATGTGAAGAAAACCAGCTTAAAATGACGACGTTATCTAGTACAGGTCTTTTTCTTAATAAAAATGCATGAGACTAACGCAGCACTACAGGTTTGGGTATAATAACTCTTTTATGAAAAATACAGAAGTGGAAAGACTATGTTCAAAATACCAGACTTTTCCAGACTTGGCTGTGGATATTTCAGACCAGAGAGATGATGTTTGATATCGGCCACCTTCTGAGCGACAGGTTAACATATAAAAACTGCTTTCTTGTTTTTTCCTTCATCAGGGAGCAGCATGAACAGTCTGTTC